GTTCCAGTGGATGTATGGCATTAACACACACACCCTCCTCCCCAACATAAATTACTTAGCAAAGATCAAGTTTTTGAAGGTAACTTCAGATGTTAGTTATTAGCTTTGCTGAATAGCCAGTTTCTGCAGGCTTCATAAGAATTATACTCTGTACAGGATAAGAGTCTGTTTGATGTAGTGTCAACCCTCTGCCAAAACAAGGGTGTAAGCTTAAAATATTCTTTAATCCCATCTTGCCTCTCAAAGAATCTGAGTGTCGGTAGCTTCTTCATTTTTTATTCCTGATGAAAAGCACATAGGAGCCTATTCAATAGGAAATTATACACCCCATTGCATGAAGCCCCTAAGCATATTGGACCAATTTTCAGTACTAAGTTCTGGATGCTTGCAGTCATGAGTTTGCGGTGAATGTGGGAGTTTCAAAGATGAGACCTTAAGCATCCAGATCCATTGCTCAACATCCCAATGGAAAATCACAGCCTCAATCTTTGGAGTTAAAATTAAAAGTGAGTGTTTAGTTTAAATAGTTATAAAGACAACCCAGCCTGCAACATCTGGCTTCTTTCGTACAGGATGGCGGAGGGTGAGGTCTTAACTTCACTTTTTCACACTTGTTCCTGTTAGTTTCTGTAGAATCTTTGTGTGGTAGTTTATGGAGAGACCTCTGCTGAGGAGTAGCAATGACTATAACTGTGGCTGGCCCTTGCTCAGATTAGACCAGGAGAGGGAAGTATCTAGCTATGTTCTGGCCCATAATTAATACATATGAGGAAATTGTGTTCCTCTCATGAACATTCCTTGAGGAAATAAAGATTAAATTTGTTAAGTAAATTATTCACTGCAAATTATTCACTCAGCTCCACTTGCTATTCTGAGCTTTCTGCAATATCTAAGGGAGCTAGATCATACAGAGAGAGGCATGGGGATAAAAGGAGAGGCTGAAGGCATGATTCCTTTCCTGTACAAAATGCAAGTCTTATTTTAATTAAAATAAACAGACTAACACACTCTGGGATTGCTTAGCATTAGGAAAAACAACGTACAGCTCCAAGGTATCTCTGAGTCTCTGGTTAAACTTGGACCAGATTTATCTGACGGACAATGAAAAACAAATTGCTAATATGAAAAAAGTCTCATTTCATTTGCTTTTTGACAGGTGGCCAGTAAGGTAAACCCTTCAATCTACTTTACGCTCTACTTTTTAGTTTTATCAGAATAATCAAATATTGAAAGGATCAGTTTACACTTGCAGTTTAGACTGGAAGTGATCTCTTCTCTCAGGGCAAGGTAACTGGATGGAGCCACTGCGGGGATACAGCACTGTTGCGGCACTTGATATTGTGTGGGAGGGAGGCACATAAAGCACTTGAATATCCAGGACCATCTATCATGGTCCATTCATTAAAACTGAATAATGGTAATAATAAGCTATAAGGTATGTTGCCTTTTATAAATATAATGGCAGTGGGAATCATTCTCATGGGGTCATCTTAATTATTTTTAAGTGAATAGCCTTTTCCCCATAGGACTTCCCAGAGAGAAGAGTGACATTGCTGGGGTATTTCAGGATGGAGGAGTCAATCCAAGCCCCATAAAATTTATCTGAAAAACTTCTATTGATTTCAATGGGGTTTGGATCAGGTTCAAAGACCAGCAAGGAAATGGAATAAGTTACCTGCAGTCATGTCCAACAGAAAACTAAGTATGAGAATTTTTGTTTTAATTTTACATAGATATTCATTCCCCTTTGAAAAATTAGCTTCAAATCCAGAGGATATAAGCACCAAGTTTATTATTAATTTTTAATTCAAAAGAGCTCCTTTTGAAATGTGTTGGTTACTTAAATTAAATGAACTTAGTGCTATATATGTTTGATTTTCTTCACTTTGTTACTTTTTAAAACTAGTGTGGGTCAACCTTCCAAGGGCAAGAACATAATCAGGTCAGCTTTCAAGCTGCTATAATTTTTCTGATATGTGGATGAGGAAAGGAAATAGATATGGGTGGGTACTATATCTCTTGAAATGGCCTCTTTCTTCCTGTTTAACAATAAATATTCTGCAGAAAGGAAGCTCATATATTACTCTTCAGATGAGTTCCCATTTTATTAATCATGAAGATTTTCACAGGGGCCTGCGACAGGAAATCACAGTCTAATGATCAGCAGAGTCTGATTTAATCCTCACACTTGGATCAGATTAAAAAGAAAAACAATATACCGCAATGTACATCTATGTAAATAAATAATCATGTTTAATTACTATTAAACATACATACAGCTTTTATAACAACATATGGCCCTACTGAATTACTAAGGCTGATTAAACATCCATGGTAAAACCTCCTTATGGTTAGAAACTTAAATGGACTTTTCAGGTATTTTTATCAGATATATGGAAGAAACATATCTCTCAGATTTCATAATTATTATTAATTAATTAATTATGATTATTAATAACAATGATTATGAACTCTGATGGATAGGTTTTTATTAATAATAATAATAATAAATTCAACTCTGTTCAGGATTAGTGTGGTTCCAATTAAAATGTGAAGCGAAACATCTTGGTTAATGGGTTGAGGTTCAACACCTACTCCACTGCAATCCAATAACCTAGAGAACAATCTTGCATTATATTTGGCAGAATTTCAGCACCTTAACCCCAGTTCCTCCTTCTGTTTTTACCAACCTGGTTCTTAGAAGGTCTGCAAAGGAAAACCTCATTATACCGTTAGCATATAATAATTATTCCTTCATCAGTCTCAGTCCATTCGGTTGCCTACCCATCAGAAGCCAAGACAGCCTCCAAAACTTTTCTTAAACATTCAAATATAAATCCAAATAGCAAACTGAAATGGGAATTCATCTGATGAGCAGTGTCTTATCCCTCCCTGGAGTGTTCATATAAGAGAGGAAGAAGAGAGCAATTCAGCCAAGAGGCTACCTGCCTATCCTGCATTTTCTCCTCATCGATGCTTTAAAAACTTAGAAGAATTTATGGGACTGGGAAAGGTAATTCTAAGAAATAACACCTGTGCATTTCTCACCAGCTTTCAATCACCAGTTCTTTTGGTTTTGAGTTTGGTTGGTTTCTTGTTTTAGCTTTCCTTGAAATTTAAGTTCAATCAACCATATTAAATGAACAACACAGAGAAAGAAAGGTCTGTGCACTGAGTATTTGGGTGGACAAGGACTTCTAAATTTTTATTTGGTGCAAAAGCCCTCCACAGTGACTTGCTTTTCTAAAAAAAGTTTTTCTCTATGCAAAACTTATGAGTAAAAGTTGCTTAGAATAGATTCAGTTGAAAAAAAAAAATTGAAAAAATATCATTAAAATTTTGAAAAAAAAAATTACCAAAGTTTTTTTTCTTGACACTTATTCTTGAACCTTTTTCTTGCAACTTATTTAGAAATAGATTTATTTTTCATTTTTAGTACTCTGGGCTGCATCAGGAGAAGCGTGGCCAGCAGGTCGAGGGAGGTGATTCTGCCCCTCTACTCAGCTCTGGTGAGACCTCACCTGGAGTACTGCGTCCAGCTCTGGAGCCCTCAGCACAAGAAGGACATGGAACTGTTGGAACGGGTCCAGAGGAGGGCTACAAAAATGAATCAAGGGCTGGAGCACCTCTCCTATGAGGACAGGCTGAGAGAGTTGGGCTTGTTCAGTCTGGAGAAAAGAAGGCTACGGGGAGACCTGATTGCGGCCTTCCAGTACCTAAAGGGGGCCTATAGGAAAGATGGGGAACGTCTTTTTAGTAGGGCCAGCTGTGTTAGGACAAGGGGAAATGGTTTTAAACTAGAACAGGGTAGGTTCAGGCTAGAGGTAAGGAAGAAATTTTTTACAATGAGGGTGGTAAAACACTGGAACGGGTTGCCCAGAGAGGTAGTGGAGGCCCCATCCCTGGGAACATTTAAGGCCAGGTTGGATGGGGCTCTGAGCAACCTGATCTAGTTAGCAGTGTCCCTGCTCACTGCAGGGGGGTTGGACTAGATGACCTCTAGGGGTCCCTTCCAACCCTAAACATTCTATGATTCTATGATTCTATGGGTGGCCCAAAAGTTTGGGGTTTGAAATTGAGAATTTGCCTCCATCTGTCAGTAAAAAGTTGGGAATTTTTCATGGTTTCAGGTTTTATGGCCTATGATTGACAACAAATAAGCTTTACTTAGGACACTCAATACTTTTGTTTATTTGACACTGGCAAATAATATCAAGCAAAATGAAGCAGAAATTCAAAGCTATCTTAATACCTCCACTTTCATTTAGCCTCTGGGCTGTTTTTCAAGAGGACATAAAGGACCTTTGTCATTTTCCTCTGCCTCTTTGTTGTAAGCCTTCTGTTAGACTTGCTTTCTCTCCCTGTGACTTTGTCACCAAATCGAGGACAACAGAGGACTGAAAAGTGATATTTCAGGGAATCCAAATTCTGTGATGAATGGCAAAAAATTATTCCACCATTCAAAATAAAAAGATGGCCTTAGAAAACTTCCCTTCTCTGCCAAACAGTGACCTTCAATCTCATTGCTTTTATTGTGTTACTGTAGAGCTAAGAAAGAAAGGGTGGCATCAGGGACCAGCTAGACCATGTACCACAGCGCAGTGCGAATCAGCTGGGGGATAATATCCCTTGGTCCTCTGAACAGCTGCAGACCTCCTTTGCATTCGAGTCCCAGCAGAAGTTGAAATGAAGGGTGCAGTTAGTGCCACAAGGCTGCGTGGGGAAAAAGGAGAGGAAAAGAGGATGATTTTCTTGAGTTGTTCAAAGTCTTACTGAAGCCTGATGGTGACACAGAAGGAGATAAGTCTTAAAGCATTTCTCACTTTGAACCCTTTCCTCATTTTCAACTCATCTCCTTAGTGCACCTCTCTCTTTCTTTTCCCCGTCACTTCCTTCCTTCCTTCCTCACTCTGTCCCCAAACGAAGATTTCAGCTCACTCACCCGTGCCTCAAAGCAGCTGCGTGAAGTCACATCCTGATAGAATAAGGAACTGCGTAACTGATGTACGCTTGTGCCGTACGCTTCGTTGTACTTAGTTCGGTTACAAGCTAGTAGCAGTTGCACATCAGCTGGATAAACTAAAAATGTTGAAGAGAAAACCATCTAATGTGTCTGATAAGGAGAAAAGTCAAAAGCCAAAGGTAAGAATGTCTTTTTATTGTCAATGAATAATAACAGGAATTCTTGACAGTTCTTAAAAAGAAGATTTCCTTTTATATCCTGGCTTCAGGATTTCCTCATGTGCTAGCAAGTGCCTCAGTGATATAATCTCAGGAATTTCTTTGTGTATACACTGTATAAAAGCAATGATCCAATTCAAGGAATCATCATGAAGCTGCTATAGCTGAGCTAAAGACTCCTGATACCGGACTTTGTCTACTGTTATATGCTCTGCATCAGTCCTTTAACAGAGGGGCTCATAAAAATCCCTGCTCTCCCTTTCATCTATGATAAACAGATGATGTCCCACAGAAGAGTGTCAGAATCAGTAAGGGATTAGAAAAGCTATTAAATTTGTTCCTTATTTTAATAAATTTTCTTCTGCATCATCATAACCAAAGGAGGAGAGGATACTTGGCAATCAGTGTTTGTCATCTTCATTTTTTCTGGGAAATATTATACTTTCAGCCTGAAATAATTACTCTGAATAAATTGATAATATGCTGCACTGGACACTTTCCACAATCAGGAATTGCAAGAAAGAAAGTGAGAGTTTTGCAAGATGCATCAGGATGTGTCCTCTGCTAGAAATTTATTTTCAATTGCTGATCTAGGTGTAGAATGACCTTTGTAAGTGTATTGGAAGTCTGAAGAGAAATGGCTACTGCTAGACCTGGGAGCATCAGTATCTATCTCTATTTCAATTTCCCAGTGCTGAAAATTTAAATGAGAGATTAGAAAAGACTTTTAGTATATCTCTGCTCTCAGTAGCTCACTGTCTCCTAGTTTACAGACCCATCTTCTCATCATTTGGGAATACACCTCACTTTGTGATTTCTGGGTCCTAAATATTATTGCAGACACTATTTCAGCAGG